AAGGTTGTGCTTTTCTCAGAGTTTGTCCATTTCTTCCAGGTTGTCTAGTTTATTGGCATATAGTTGCTTGTAGCAATCTCTCATGATCCTTTGTATTTCTGCAGTGTCAGTTGTTACTTCTCCTTTTTCATTTCTAATTCTATTGATTTGAGTCTTCTCCTTTGTTTTCTTGATGAGCCTGGCTAATGGTTCATCAATTTTGTTTATCTTCTCCGAGAACCAGCTTTTAGTTTTATTGATCTTTGTTTTCGTTTCCTTCATTTCTTTGTCATTTATTTCTGATCTGATCTTTATGATTTCTTTCCTTCTGCTAACTTTGGGGTTTTGTTCTTCTTTCTCTAATTGCTTTAGGTGTAAGGTTAGGTTGTTTATTTGAGATGTTTCTTGTTTCTTGAGGTAGTATTGTATTGCTATAAACTTCCCTCTTAGAACTGCTTTTGCTGCCTCCTGTAGGTTTTGGGCCGTTGTGTTCTCATTGTCATCTGTTTCTAGGTATTTTTTGATTTCCTGTTTGATTTATTCTGAGATCTCTTGGTTATTTAGTACGGTATTGTTTAGCTTCCATGTGTTTGTATTTTTTACGGTTTTTTTTTCCTGTAATTGATACATAGTCTCATAGCATTGTGGTAGGAAAAGATAATTGATACAATTTCAATTTTCTTAAATTTACTGAGGCTTGATTTGTGACCCAAGATATGATCTATCCTGGAGAATTTTCCATGAGCACTTGAGAAGAAACTGTATTCTGTTATTTTTGGGTGGAATGTCCTATAAATATCAATTAAGTCCATCTTGTTTAATATATCATTTAAAGCTTGTGTTTCTTTATTTATTTTCCTGTTGGTTGATCTGTCCATTGGTGGAAGTGGGTTGTTAAAGTCCCCTACTATGATTGTGTTACTGTCGATTTCCCCTTTTATGGCTGTTAGCATTTGCCTTATATATTGAGGTGCTCCTATGTTGTGTGGATAAATATTTACAATTGTTATATCTTCTTCTTGGATTGATCCCTTGATCATTATGCAGTGTTCTTCTTTGTCTCTTGTAATAATCTTTATTTTAAAGTCTGTTTTGTCTGATATGAGAATTGCTACTCCAGCTTTCTTTTGATTTTCATTTGCATGGAATATCTTTTTCCATCCCCTCACTTTCAGTCTGTATGTGTCTTTAGGTCTGAAGTGAGTCTCTTATAAACAGCATGTATATGGGTCTTGTTTTTGTATCCATTCAGCCTGTCTGTGTCTTTTATAGTTAGAGCATTTAATCCATTTACATTTAAGGTAGTTATCGATATGTATGTTCCTATTACCATTTTCGTAGTTGTTTTGGGTTTGTTATTGTAGGTCTTTTCCTTCTCTTGTGTTTCCTGCCTAGAGAAGTTCCTTCAGCATTTGTTGTAAAGTTGGTTTGGTGGCGCTGAATTCTCTTAGCTTTTGCTTGTCTGTAAAGGTTTTAATTTCTCCGGCGAATCTGAATGAGATCCTTGCTGGGTAGAGTAATCTTGGTTGTAGGTTTTTCCCTTTCATCACTTTAAATATATCCTGCCACTCCCTTCTGGCTTGCAGACTTTCTGCTGAAAGATCAGCTCTTAACCTTACGGGGATTCCCTTGTATGTTATTTGTTGCTTTTCCCTTGCTGCTTTTAATATTTTTTCTTTGTATTTAGTTTTTCATAGTTTGATTAATATGTGTCTTGGTGTGTTCCTCCTTGGATTTATCCTGTATGGGACTCTCTGTGCTTCCTGGACTTGATTGACTATTTCCTTTCCCATATTAGGGAAGTTTTCAACTATAATCTCTTCAAATATTTTCTCAGTCCCTTTTTCTCTTCTTCTGCTGCGACCCCTATAATTTGAATGTTGGTGCATTTAACGTTGTCCCAGAGGTCTCTGAGACTGTCCTCAATTCTTTTCATTCGTTTTTCTTTATTCTGCTCTGCGGTAGTTATTTCCACTATTTTACCTTCCAGGTTACTTATCCGTTCTTCTGCCTCAGTTATTCTGCTATTGATTCCTTCTAGAGAATTTTTAATTTCATTTATTGTGTTGGTCATCATTGTTTGTTTGCTCTTTAGTTCTTCTAGGTCCTTGTTACATGTTTCTTGTATTTTCTCCATTGTATTTCCAAGATTTTGGATCATTTACTATCATTACTCTGAATTCTTTTTCAGGTAGACTGCCCTCTTTGTTTGGTCTGGTGGGTTCTTACCTTGCGCCTTCATCTGCTGTGTGTTTCTCTGTCTTCCCATTTTGCTTCACTTACTGTGTTTGGTGTCTCCTTTCGCTGGCTGCAGGTTTGTAGTTCCCTTTGTTTTTGGTGTTACCCCCAGTGGGTAAGGTTGATTCAGTGGCTTGTGTAGGCTTCCTGGTGGAGAGGACTGGTGCCTGTGTTCTGGTGGATGAGGCTGGATCTTGTCCTTCTGATGGGCAGGACTGCATACGTTGGTATGTTTTGGGGTGTTTGTGAACTTATTATGATTTTAGGCTGCCTCTCTGCTAATGGGTGGAGTTGTGTTCCTGTCTTGCTAGTTTGGCATGGGGTGTCCAGCACTGGAGCTTGCTGGTTGTCAAGTGGATCTGGGTCTTAGTGTTGAGACAGAGATCTCTGGGAGAGCTCTCGCTGGTTGATATTACATGGGCCAGGAGGTGTGTGGTGGTCCAGTGTCTCGAACTCAGCTCTCCCACCTCAGAGGCTCAGTCCTGACACCCGGTCGGAGCACCAAGACCCTCTCAGCCACATGGCGTAGACAACTGTGGTGAAAATCTTACTGGTGTCTTGGATTTTTCTTTGCTGGGTGATTTATCCAAGCCAGGTTCCCTTTGTCAGAAACATAGCAAGCCAAAACGCTAAGATATCCGAGGTTTGCAGTGAAGACAGGCCTTATTCACACAGCATCCAAGGAGAAGACAGGAGAACAAATTTCAAATCTGGGTCCTATCTTATTATTTTTAATGATTACATTTTGTCTTTATTAAAACTTTTTTCACATGATTTAATACTTGAATATTCAAAACTCTCCAAAAGAATCATAAAGCTAAATTCTGTTTCTCACATGGTCAGGTGTGTAAGGTAACAGATAATGTATGGCATTAGCATCATGATTATGCTAAATCCAAACAATCAGTAGTATATTGTTGTACCAGTACGTTTCCCCATTAAGAATTTGAGTCAAAATCTACAGAATATCTAGTATTCTATTTTAATCCACTGAATGAGGAGGTATAGAATCTTTATAATTACTCAAAATGAGCTAAAGCAGGAATCTTTAGCTTTGTATGAGGTCCATGAATGGAACCTTAGGGGGTTTGGACTCCCTCAAAATTGTGTGTAAAGATTTTTATGTGTATTTTCCGGGAGAAAATGGTTCATAGATTTCTAAAGAAGTCTTGTTACCCATAAACAGTGATTGTAACTTCAGTAACAGCCACCAAAGTCTGTCTTAAAGTTTTGATTCTCAGTACACCTTGGATCATAAACCTGTTTAAAAATCTGAGAAAAGCTATAAACTTCCAGATTTGAGTACAGTTTTGGAGATTCTTGGATCCTCCAAAGCTTGTTCTCAGAAGTCTTGGATTTCCTGTTTGGGATTCATAGACCACTGCTGTTAAGGAAACGTGCTCTGGCTCGTGTTAGGCCTTAGTCTCATTATTTTAGAGACCTTACAGTTTCATTTACACACATTCTTATTCTGCATCTTCAGACTGTTTCTCCATACGTTTATAACATTTCTTTATTGAAATTTTTTCTCTCATATGTATCACCTTATGAAAAACTATCCTGATATGTATCTTACTGTTATTTCTTGCCCTTTTATACTCTATTGGCACAATTTTAAAAGCTTTTCTTTTCTGTGTTTACTGCCTTTTTTAGGTGTGAGGGAAGATTCAATATCTAATATGTATATCAGTGTGTCTGAGCCAAGTCCAATACTCTTTACAGGAGCAGTTATCTTAGGTCTCACTCCTTAAAAAAAAAAAATTAGTTGATAGATGTATTAAGGGAGATTTTTTCCAAATTACATTATGAGTTTTCCACACAAAACCTCTATGTTAAGAAAAGTTAGACTGGTTAGGCTTAGGAAAGTTGCTTCTGATTTTATTTTCCTTTTTGAGTGGTAGGCTAGCTTTTTCTCTACAAAGCATGATTTCTTGATAATTAGTTCCCCTGATTATTTATGGTTTAATCTTTGGTGCTCTTTAGGATAAGTTTGTCTTTTTTGCTTTGGAGATACTTTGTTACCATATCTTAAATTTTAAATATTAGATTATAGTGACCATTTTGTGTTTTGATATCAACTGGATTTAGCACTGCTAAATGACATATATCACATTTTTAATTCTGCAGAGTTTATGATAGTCTGCCAGCTACCTAAAATTTGTCTTATCACTATTTTTCCTTCTTAGCTGTTGTTACCTGGTTGTTCTCTATTAACTCTTCGTTAATATATACTATTCCAGTTGAACCTAAGAGATTCCACAAGGCCAACATATATCCTTATTAGGGTATATTTCTTTTACCTTTGGTTTTTTTCCTCTCATAATGTTTCCCTTTTGTAGCACTCCCATTCTGTTTTGATTCTGTTCTCCAAACAGCAATAATTTGTTTACCTCTTGCAATATCAAAAGGCTGTGTATTTAAGATTTAGAAATTTTTTTTTTTTTTTTTGCGGTACGTGGGCCTCTCACTGTTGTGGCCTCTCCCGTTGAGGAGCACAGGCTCCGGACGCGCAGGCTCAGCGGCCATGGCTCACGGGCCCAGCTGCTCCGTGGCATGCGGGATCTTCCCGGACCAGGGCACGAACCCGTGTCCCCTGCATCAGCAGGCAGACTCTCAACCACTGTGCCACCAGGGGAGCCCGATTTAGAAATTTTGAATTTCTGTTTGTCTCTAAGGGCATAATTTCTTTAAAGAGAAGTATATTCATTTGATTTTTAAAGTTTCTTTTGAATATTTTTTCTAAAGAAAATAATAAAATATTTAATTAAGTATTTGACTTTCAGTGCAATGCGTGTTTTACTGTCAAAATTACCAAGACCGTGGATTGTGGATGAGAAGAAAGATGATGGTTATACTGCCTTGCATCTGGCTGCCCTCAATAATCATGTAGAAGTGGCTGAACTGTTGGTACATCAGGTAGGAAAAGCAGTTCAGTAATTTTTCACAATTTTGGATCATTGCTATTTATTTTTTACTTCATCAGCTACTTATTAATTGATAATAAGTAAAATCCCATGATGATGGGATCTTACAGCAAAATCCCATGATGATGCAAATTCAGATATAATATGAATTTAGTCTTCCACCTAACATTGGTTTTTGTTTTTGTTTTTTTTTTTCCCTGGCTGCGCCATTCAGCATATAGAATCTTAGTTCCCCAAGCAGGGATCGAACTTGTGCCCCCTTCAGTGGAAGCATGGACCCCTAAACACTGGACCACCAGGGAATTCCCCTAACATTGGTTCTTAAATGGAGGGAGTTAGTGGTGTGTGTGGGGAGAAGGGGGCGGGGCAGGGGGGGTAATCCTTCAGTCTCCAGTATTCTCTCTGCACAGTCTTCCTGGATTGGTCCAACAAAATAGGCATCAGTGAAAAGGGATTTTCCAGAATCACTGCCACTATTGTGGAAGTATCACTCTGCTGTAGCACCAAGAACCATCATGTTGATATCTAAGCTGGTGTGGGCAGTTGCCCCCAGGTAACACCAGGCTGCAGCTAGGATCTAGGGATGCAGTTCATGACTACTGCTGGACCCCTTGGATAGCAGCATAGGCTCACCTTGGTCATTTCATTCATCTCAGGAATAAGATGCTCTACATTTTTATGAGATTGGATTTTGGGGGAAACCGATTTATTGCAATTTTATGATATTTTGGTATATTCAGCAAAATTTTTAAATGCTTCAGTCAAGCATATGCCATAGCTAAGCACTAAAGTTACCACAGAATTATCTGTGATCCCTGACTTCAAGGAACTTACAGTCTAGTTAAGAAGATGAAACAGCAGAAAAATTTAGTAGATAGTACATTATGTGTAATTAGGTCATAGATCATAAGATAGACATTCCATAAGCTACAGAAGTTTAGGTAAAAAAATAGTTCAAAAGTTAAACAAACCTTTCCCTTGCCATTGTAAGCCTTTATTATTAAAATTAATTTTCTTAGAAGTGTTGTTAATTATGATAAATTCCTTTTCATCCAAAATCCAAACGACTGACCTTAAGCCAGTACTACACTGTCTTGGTTATTGTTGCTTTATAGTAAGTCTTGAAATCAGTTAGAGTAAGTCCTCTAACTTTGTTTTTCTTTCTCAGAACTACTTTAATGTTCTAGATCTTTGGAATTTCCCAGTACATTTTAGAATCAGGTTCTTAGTTTCTATTAAAAGTCTTTGAGGGAGTTTGATTGCTCTTGCACATATTAGATTTATCTTTAAGTAATTTTTTTATCCTATTGGTAAATTGTATTGTTTTAAAATTTCAATTTCCAGTTATGTATTGCTAATATATAGAGTTGCAATTTTTAAAATATATTTACCATGTATCTTGTGACCTTGCTTAAATTTCCATTGGTCATTAGGAAAACAGAAATTACACCAACACTACTAATCACCAACTACAATTACTAAAATTAAAAATGCCAACAAAACCAGGTGTTGATTAGGATGTGGAGCAGTTAGAATTCACAAATGTTGCTGGTGTTTTTCAGGCTAGCCATGTTGAAAAACAGTTTAGCAGTTTCTTATAAAGTTAAACATATATTCATCCCAGCAGTCTCACGTCTAGATATGTATCCAAGAGAACTGAGGGTACATTTCCACGAAATACTCCTACCAAATACTTGTAGCAGCATTATTTGTAATAGCCCTAAACTGCAAGCAAACCAAATGTTCATCAACTAGTGTCTGAATAAACAAATTATGGTATATCCATACAATGAATACTACTTTGGAAAATCTAAATGATGGAAAAAAGTTCAGGAAACTTAAAAAGAGATCCCTCACTTTCTGCATTTATATGAGAACAGACATGATAAGAAAACAAGCTGAGGGAATTCACTGGTGGTCCATTGGTTAGGACTCAGCGCTTTCACTGCCATGGGCCATCGCTGGTCGGTTGCTGGTTGGGGAACTAAGATCCCATAAGCCACGCGGCACAGCCAAAAAAAAAAAAAAAAAAAAAAAAAAAAA